ATCAAGTCCTGAGTGAACAAACAATAAGTTAAATCAGTGAGTGGATCCTTCAGAAAGTCAGAGACTAAACATGTCAGTGTGTGCAGAGTTTGTATCCTCAGTGGAGACAAACAGCCTGTGGTCTGATGCAGATGTGTGCAGCAGATCTACAGCAGAGTGTGTCAGTGGAAACCTCTCCCATGTCGCCTCCACTTCCTCTTTCCACCATGTTAAACCTGTTCAAACCCTCTTACTGCTCTGCAGACGCTCAGCCAGCTCCTCCTGCTTCATCCTCCTCAGGAAGTTCACTGTGATCTGCAGAAATGACTCTCTGCTGCGCCTCCTCTGCTCTTCATCCTCACCACCCAGCTCCTCCTCATCCTCCCTCTGACTCTCTAAGCATTCTGGGTAATCTGGACTCAGGACCCTCTGGATCTTCTTCAGCTCGTTCTTCACAAAAGTGACCATGTTCTCCTCCAGCAGCTGGAACAGAATGAGAAAGTGAACAGTGAAGTGAAACTGGTCCAACCCAACATGTGACTCCTGTGTGGGTCTGAAGGCTGCTGGTCTGAACACAGCAGCATGGAGTCTGCTAGTTCAGCATTAAGCCTGCGGTCGATGGAGCTGAACAGTGAACATGTGAGTGCACATGTACACACCATGAACACAGAGTCCAGGTCCGGCTGATGCTGCTGTGCAGACTGGTCACTGTGATCCTCTGAGCTCTGCTGCTGAACTCTGGGGAGGAAACAGCAACCGTGAGAAGCAGGAAACTTGAATCTGACACAACTTAATGAAGGTTCAAATTCCTTCAGTGATGATTTGACAGTAGCAGGTAACTCGATCACGACTTTCCCATCATCTGTGTTTATCTGTCCTCAGATGTTTCAGTATGTACAGTTCAGGTTGCTTGTATCTGGACAATGGCACATTGTTCTTCAGAGTTTGTGCTTCAGCAGAATCACTGAGAAATAAAACAACCTGTTCTACAAGTGTAGAGTCTCCACTTTAATAGGAGCTGGTTACATCGATACTGAAATGACTGTGTTTGAGATACAGGCCTGAAATCACAAGGGTTCAAAAGTAAATAGACACTTTGCCACTAAACATTCTTGTTCAGCTACGTGTTGTTTCATTTTCAGTTTATCCACAATGGAGCTCACACATGGTTCACAGCTGGCTGAGACGAAGTCGTCTGTCAGCACAAGCAGTGAAGAAGCAGCCTTGCTCATCAGGTTTATAGTAATGAATGCAAAACTCCATCAGAGAGGTATCAGAGGTGGTCGGTTGGCCAGTATCAACAATCAGAAACATTCAGAAGAGCAGGTGTGAACCAGGAAACCAGAACATAGCCGACAACCTGGGAGACAAGTCCTGTGAATGAGCTGAAAAGCATTTGCACAGTGAAAACAGAGGACTGATTTAGTGGAATGCTGCTGCTCGCTGGTCGACCTGTGTTCAAAAGTCAGTGCGGCTGTAAAGCCATAATCTATATTTCTGTTTGTTAGGTATTTTTAGTCAGATAGAAATTGGATAGATACTTTATGTATTAGAAATGTTTAGTGGAGATAGGATGTCTAGTTAGACTGTTAAATGCTTAGTCATGCTTATGAGTTTCTACAGGGTACATCTGGTCAAGGATAACTAGAGAAAAGTTGATGACTGTCAGCAGACAGGATGTTTAATATTATTATGATGTGTATAACTGTAGCCTTAGCCATAATATGTTCTTATGTTTAATGTCATGACATGTTACTAGAGGTCGTGTGAGAATGTTTTTAGCTACACACCACATTGATTTACTTCATGTTTTGACTACTGCTATGGCCAGCTGCAAAGCTGGCAACAGAGACGTCTCGGTTGACGTTTCTGTGTAGTATGGGGCTAGCCCAACCGAGGGGATATAATGTATAGGCCTGGTTGGTTCAGGGTCTTTCATCTTACATCTGCCTGCGAGCAGGTTGGAGGTGCAAGATACCTGAGCGTGTAATGTTAATTTTACCTGTGATCCTTTCAAATAAATCAGCACTGTTTTGAAGTTACTTGGACTGTCTCGTCTCTCAGAGTTAGCAATGGTAAGAAGAACCAGTCCTTCATGTTTTAAGGGGAGAGAGAAAAACGAGCTGGGCACAGTTTAGAGTTAAGAGCTGAGACAGTGAACTGGGTCAAGTCAGAGATCACACACAAACAGGACCAGACCTGCTGAAACAGCTGCTGGACATTGATGGAGAAGAAGGAGTGATCTGTGGGGTGTGTGACTCCTGGATCATGTTCTCCATGCATGTCTCATCTATAAAGTGTCACCCCGACTGTCCACACAGTAACTCTCTTGTTGATTTATTCTGCTCACAAAACATGAACTTCCTGTCTGTTGATCCGGAAAGAGGGATCCCTCCTCTGTTTCTCTTTCTGAGGTTTCTTCCAATTTCTTTTTCAATTAAAACATTCTGAGAGTTTTTCCTGATCCAGTTCAAGGGTCTAAGGATAGAGGGCATTTTATGCTGTACACACTGTGAAACCCACTGAGACAACTGTATGATTTAGAACATAGGCTTATCTAAGTAAAACTGAATTGATGTAACATGAGTTTCCTCTTCCCAGTTAATAACAAAGCTCAGGGTGAAACTCTTACCTTCCATCACCAGGTCGTCCATCTTTAAAGTTTATGAGACGACCCTCAGACCAGTCACTTTTCATGGACACACAGCTGGAGTCAGGAGAGTCTGGTCTCTGCTGCTGCATCCTGATACAAACAAACCAGTGACACATGAAACCAGTAAAAGATGTGAGCAGACTGAGACCAGGTGAAATGTCAGAAGCAGATAAAAAACCAGTAGGAGGCAGTGGATGAGTAACATCCTCCTGTTGGTCAATGTGCATCTGATGACAGGTGCTGTCTGGTCTCAGCTGTGGAGCTGACTAATCACTGGTTTGCTCACTCAGACAGTCAGTAGTTCATCATGAGCTCCTCTAAGCTGCTACTGAGCAGCTGAGTGTGAACGCTGGTGGTGCAGTGATGTGTGGTGCTGAGCTCTGACAGGGACAAGAGTCCTGGACCAGTGGAGATCCTCATCTCACCTCTGAGCTGTGCTCCGGCTCTCACGGTCCTCACGCAGCCCGGTTTTAGAGGGAGGGCCTCTGCCCTGTCCGTCCTCATGCTGACTCATCGCAGAGGCCAACACCTTCACACAGACACAACATCATGCTCAGCCAGTACATCAGCAGTGACACCACCTTCCTCTCTCCAACGTGTCAGGTTCCCTCAGACACATGACGACTCTGCAGCCTCTGGGCCTGTCGACACAGGGACTGTGCAACCGAGCCTTCAGTCAAACCAGGTCTGTGTTGGAATATGAATGTGATTTGGATTAAATGCACCTCAGCCGAGCCAATCACTGCGTTCTGACCCGTTCTGACTCTCTCGACATTTTCCACTGAGGATGTGAGCTCACACTACATTCAGACTGTTGTTAGTGTCCCAACAGTAAAACAAATCACTGTCAGCCATTCTGCTTTAATTCAGGGACAAACTCTGAAGAATAAGACTCCTCTGTATAAACAACACAGACCCTGGAGCAGCCAACCATCATCCAGAACCATGTGTGCAGTCACACAGTGATCCAACCCAGTGGGATCAGAGAGCTGGTGATCCTCAGATGATGGACATCCCCTCTCTGTCCACCAGATGGTGCTGATGAGTTGAAGTTCAGCTCTGAGAAGTGATGGAGCAGCAGCAGTGTCGATCGCATGGAGACGCCGCTGCATCTGGACATGTGGGCTTGTTCTGGTCCTCAGTCCTGTTTCCAAACACAGGGACCAAAACCTCGAGAACCTCAGGCTGCCGCAGACGGAGCCAGAAACACCTTCTTCTCTCAGACCTTTGTTTTAAAACACTTTGCTTTAAAGACTTGTCCTCATTTGTCCCTGTGAAGACGTTTTGTTTGGGACATTGTCATTCAGATCAAACCTGTTTGAATTAATACGAACCAAGCATCTACTACAAATACTTCTTCAGGCAGTACTCATAAATAACTGCTGGGAGGGAAAACTCTGAGAGGTCAAAGTCTGATAGTAACTAGTCTGTGTGAGGACATTATCAGTGTGCGTCATCTGCAAACAGGTTTTATGAGGACAGACTCACATTCAAAGTCAAAGACATGAACCTGAGAACCAGACCAAGCGAGACTGAAATCAAGTTGATCCTACTCGAGGACGTTTGCTGAGAACGCCCTCAAACACAAATGAGTGCTCAGTTTATACTGAGTCCAGGCTGAGATGTACTGATGAGTAGTACACACTGCAGTGTGTAGGGGAAAGTACCACAACCTGATGCTGTTCATCATAACAAACTGTGTCGATTATGACCCGTATTATCAGACACTGATACTCTGCACTGGGCCTGTGTGTTGTGTCGACTGGTACATATGTAGAAAAGGGTTCGATCCAGTATCAGATATAAACTGGTAGCAGGCCATGACCTGTGAAGGTCGGTGAGCTGTTATAGAAACCATTGACGTAAACTCCCCCACAGTTACAAGACGCACTTTAACCCTCATAAAAACGTTTCCATAAGACGTCTGTTGATGAATCTGTTGTGCAGCTGTTCTCTGATGCCGATCTGAGCAAAACAAAGATGCCTCCAGTCTAATAATGCATCATGGGATATGGACCATTCTGTCAGATTGAACACCTCACAAAACCCTGTCTGTGACCCTGTGGCTGACACTGCCAAACAGATCCCCTGAGGACAGACTGCACACTGTGAGAAACACTCTACAGTCAGATCCAGTGTCCACATCCAGTATAGACCTGTCACACAGTGTTCGTTTACCTCCGACACAAAACACTGAGTCTAAATAAGCCACAGAATCTGGTCGACAAACATTTAAAGTCGTTTCAATAAAACAACATTTACCTCAGCACTGTGGTGGTGTTTCTATTTTTCTGGTCACTCTGACTCACCAACAGGTTGAATTTCAGTTCTGGTAAAACTGGATTCTCATTGCTTCGTTCATTCCACCAGTGACCTGGGCACAGCAACAGAACACATCAGCAGCTGGACTGTCCTCAGATCAGCTGACACAAACACGATGAACACGCTGCTTACATTACCTTCTGATGGAGATGATCACCTGATGAAGACGAGGAGTGAAGGTGGACTGGAGACGTAGCTTCTACCAGGAAACAAACAGGAGACTGGTTCACAGTCCGTCACAGCTCTGGGTTCATTCTGCAGCTGCAGTCAAACATTAAGAGACAGAATAAATCCCTATCAGCTGGATCACAAGGCCGTCAGGGTTTGGCTGGGGAGGAGCCGAATGCAGACGCAGAGGGAGGGATAGGTAACAAAACAGGGCTTTACTGACAAACTGAACAGGGCAAAGAGGAACAACTAGAGCTCTCACACTAAACACAAAACAGAGCAACAACACAGGAAACTACTACCACCTGAGGAGGGGAGAGAAAACAAACAGGACGGAGCTCAGTCCAATGATGAAGAACACAGACGCCACCTAGAAAATATCTACAAGCAAAAACTATCAGACAGCAGAGGGACAAATACACAGAACCATAGTCAGCCAAAGAAGGAAGAGGAAAGCAGGGCATGAACAAACCAAAGCTCAGGGAAAACATCAAGTCCACAGATGATGCAGGGGTGTGCATGAGGGCTAGAGTCCATGCACAGTTGCAAGAAAAACTAATGGCACTGTTTGCAGTTTCCTGGTTTTCTGCATAAATTTGTCATGAACTGTGACCTGATCTTCACCAAAGTCACAAATATCAACAAACACAATATTTCTAAGCTGATAAAACACAAACAGTCCTGAACTTTCATGTATTTCATCCTGCAACATCTTGACTCACCAGGGACCTCATGGATGCTCCAGCATGCTCAGATCCTATTTGTGAACTTCAGCTTGGCATTCAACACCATCACCCCAGACATCCTCTACTCCAAACTGACCCAGCTCACAGTGCCTGCCCCCACCTGTCAGTGGTTCACCAGCTTTCTGACGGACAGGAAGCAGCAGGTGAGGATGGGGAAAACCACATCCTGCACCCGGACGATCAGCACAGGTGCCCCCCTGGGATGTGTGCTCACCCCACTGTTGTTCTCCTTCTATACTATAAACTCTGTTTAATGTACAAAGCTCCTTCCGGTTCTTTTAAACCAGGAACTCACAAAAGACGAAGTAGACCACTTTAGATTTTATAAAAAATAACCGCACTGGTTTATTCAGAGGATCACAGGTAAAATTAACATCACACGTCCAGATCTCTTCCACCACCAAACCTGCGCGCAGGCAGCTTGGAAAGATGAAAGACCTTAGACCATGAAACCTATATAATTTTAATCACTTTGGGCTAGCCCCATACTACGCAGGCACGTCAAACCGTGACGTCACCTGATATGCCAGCTTGCAGCTGACCATAACGATAGTCAAAACATGAGGAAAAGTCAAGGTGTGTGGCTGTTGATTTGTGGTGTGTATCTAGAACAATTTGACATGACATTTCACATTAAGACAAATATTAAGATTAGCATTACAGTTAATACTAACAACTCTCCTTGCCTGTAGCCTTTGTATGATTTAATTAGCCTTGGCCTAGATGCAGTCTGCAAGCACATGAGAATGAACTGCGCATTTAACAGCCTGAGCTAGACATCCTGTCTCCACTAAACATTTCTAGACAGCAAATCTCTGAATATCTATCTAACTAAGAAATAACCTAACAATACTAATGACTGCACCTCAGGAGACCCCTCTGTTAAGCTCCTAAAGTTTGCTGATGACACAACGGTAATCGTCTCATCTGAGACGGTGACAAGTCAGCCTACAGACAGAAGGTTGAACAGCTGGTCCTGTGGTGTAGCCGCAACAACCTGGAGCTGAACACGTTCAAAACAGTGGAGATGACAGTGGACTTCAGGAAGAACAGCTAGTCTATGTTTGTTCTTTTAATTTGTGCCTTTTAACTTGTATATATTTTGTTTTTATTGCTGTGCAAGTCGGGGGCCATTGGGCTGGAGTCAAATTCCTTGTATTTTTGATAATACTTGGCAATAAAGTTTATGCTTCTGCTTGTACTGCTTACCCTCTTTTGCTCTCCCGGACATTCCACGCAGGTTCAGTCAGACAGAAAACATGTACACACTGACATTACAGGAATTAGCAGAAATCCCAGATTGTCTATGGGCAAAACACAAATATGATGTGGGGCTTGTTAGAAATGAATAAATTAGTCAGATAATTATTAGACTTTAATGTGTGTTATTAATGCAGTTTAGTAAGATTCAAAGTCTGCTCCTGTGTGCTCTGCTTCAAGGTTAGCAGTAAGCCATGACACCAATTGTTTTCTTGTATTAATCTTGTGTAAGAATTATGTCTGAATGAATGTTTAGTTACACATCATGCATACAACATACACACACATCGAGCTACCTCATTTTGTTATGACTAGGTAATACGCAGCTGCTCCAAGAATGTGGAGCTCTAGATAAGAGTCCT